TATGGAAGATTTGAAAGCTGCTGATCCTGTGGAGATTGAAGATAAAGAGTATTCGGGTAGTAATGAGTATAGGAATGATCAAATTAGTGTTTCATCAGATGAGTTTATTGATGATCGACAAACAAATAAAACTGAAGAAAAATTTGATAAAAATTTATCAAATTCATTTAAGAAATCTTTGGAAATGAATTTTGGAATACCTAATAATATTACCGGTGACAGAATGTATCAAGATAGAATTAATAAGTCACTTTCAATATCTAAAAGAGAGGTTGAAGATGACTACGGAAGAAAGCAAGACGTATTTAGAATTAACGATGCCAATGAAGATATTAATGACAAGAAACTTATTCATGATGATGGTGATTTAAATGATGCAATGATTTTTATTAATAAGATTAAAAATGAATACCCTTCAAATTCACGAGCATATGATAACTTTTTAGAAGTAATGAGAGATTTTAAGTTTGGTAAGACGAGTGCTCATGATGTTTGTAAGAGCGTCAAGATGATTTTTAATGAAAAGCCATCAATAATAAAAACATTTGAGGATTACTTACCGCATCATCTCAAGACATCAACAGATGTTCATATGTATAAGTCTAATCAAAATTTACCTGACAGAAGTTTTTTTGCTAAACAAATTTATGAACAAAGATTTCAACACCCATCACATTTTAATGATCTAAGAATTAATCCACCACCAACATATTATGAAAGACCAGATCAGATGCACCATATGCAAGGAGCACCTTATAACTTTGGAAGACCAATGACAATGATTGGTTCACAACAACAAATGATGAGACAGCCACCTTTTTATCCACACCCACATGGAATGAACCAACAGAAACAGATGAAACCAAATAATATTAAGTTTGCATATCAAAGTACACAGAAGTACAGACAGCAACAACCTCAACCTTGGGTTACTTCATTCCCAGCAAAAAGAGATATTAGTAAGACAGCTCCTGTCAGCAAACAATTTGAATTTATTGAAGAATTTAAGCTTAGATATAGTCCAAATGATCCAACATATGGTAAGGTAATTGATATTATGACTAATCCACACATCAGTAAGAAGGATGTTTTAGTGAGAGTAGAAGATGTTCTTAAGAATGATAGAGAAACATTTGAAATATTTAAAAGGATATGCATGCCTGAGTATAAAGATTATGAACCACCTAAGAAAATAAAACTATCAAATAAGCCACTTGATAAGATAATGGATATCATGAAAGAGAAAAAGCTTGAAGATCAGTTTTTAAAGCTTGTTAACTTGTTAAATCAGAGATTAATATCAAGTAAAGTATTTTTTCCATTGATGGAAAAGATTATAAATGATGATGAACTTATGAGAGAATTAAAGAGGTATTTGCATTATTCCGAAGTTGATGTAGGAACTAATAAGAGTGTGTTTACTCAAAAGAAGGTGGGGTCGTATATTGAATATCCAAAAAAGAATGAGAATGTGGAGTGTCCTAGTATGTTTAAAACAATTCTTAATGACAGGTTTGTGAATGTAAGTACTTATAACTCAGAAGATTCGGGTTATGTATTTAGATTTAAAAATCAATCAGAAACAATCTTAAATAAGCTTAGTGATGATCGTTCAGATATTGATGTGACAATCGCAAGAGTGAAATATTTTATATTAAAGCTTACTAAAGTGTATGATCTTGCGACAAATCATAATGAAAAAAAATTAGAGATAAGTGATTTTGAGTTTTCAGAGCAAGTTCTGATTGAGACTATGAGAATGATTTATGGAGAAGACTATCAAAAAATTCTTGATAAAATGTTCGAATCACCATTAGCAGCAATTCCCAAAGTAATTGAAAGAGGATACAAAGTTTTTAAAGAGTTTTCAGCTAAGCAGAGAGAAAATCAGGAATATTGGAGATATGTTACAGAAACTCATTATTACAAAGCTTATGATACCAATGGAGTTGAATATAAGAGTCAAGAAAAGAACTGTTTAAATTTGAGGTACATTCAGAATAACTGCAATACACCAATAACAATAACAATAGAAGATACAGAAATTTTTAACTTTGTGAGAGATTTATTTATTACTTTTATCACTAACAATTACAATAATAATAAGAAAATATCAATTCAGTCTAAAGAAGAATATTTTTTCAAATGTATTGATTTATTAGATGAACAGGGTGTTGACGAGAATATTGGATTTGAACATTACGCACTTTATGTATATTTCTTAAAAATCTGTAGTAGATTTGAGGAAGTGTTTAAGTATGATATTTCAATTGAGAAGCCTAATAGAGTAGCATTGAATCTTGGATTGGTTGAAGAATCGGCATATGAAACTATGAAGGAAGGTATTATTGATCTTAGTGAAAAGTTAGTTTCTAAAGAAATTGATAGTGATACTTTTGAGAGCCAGATAAGGATATTAACTAATATGAAGGGATTCAAGCTGTATAATCTAAAGAAAATGATTAGTAAAATGGATAGATTGGTGGGTATAATTCTAGAAAGGGAGTTAGATAGTTCAACATCCAATATTTCATTTAATGTTAATAGAACTGATAATGTTATAACACTCTCTAAAAATGAAAAGGCGGCAGAATTAACGATTGATGACAATGAGATGGTTGAAAGTGAAGTTTAATAAATAGACTTATAATAAAGAAATTTAATTTTTATAAAAATTTTTATCCATAAATTTATGAACAGAGATATAAAAGTAAATAATTTGAATAAGACCAAATGGCTAAGTATTTCAGATGCCTTCTGTGGAATGGGTTACGTACTTATGGATTTTACTGCTCTTGTTGAAAACGCAATAAGCAAATATGACTTGAATATTCGTGCTTTACCTACTAAGATAATATGTAATCATTTTACATTCATTCATTCAATGTTGAAAGGATCGTTTGAAGATGTAAGATATTTCTTTAAGTCTAAAGATCCTTATCTTTTATTGATGAAAGTTTATATTGAGAAATGTAACAGCAATATAAGGTTTTATGAAATAATTAACAAAGATGAAAGAATTTCAATGGCATTAACTTCAATTGAAAGAAAAAATTTTATTGAATTTGCTTTAAGTTCTGGTGTTTATGTTGGTTTGTTAGATAATTTATTATTTATTTATCCACATATCTATACTAATGTAATGTTACCATATGATAAGATAACTAATTCGTTGTTTAAAACCGAAAGTGTTGTTAAAGATATTTTAAATAAAGACAATGATTTTGAAGTAATTGATAAATTAAGTGATGAAAAAGTTAAATATCTTAATGATTGTTTTAACGATAATGAAGAAGTTTATCGTTATAATAAGAAATTTAATGAAGAATATGGGAGTGATTTAATCAATTATTTAATCGATAGAAATGATTTGATGTTTGATGGGTATATTTTTGCAGATGAAGTTGATTTTAATAAAGAAGTAAAAGCATTTACATTAGAAGCATCATTTTCCTTAAAAAATAACATTGATTTTTACGGTAATGATCTTGATTTATCTATTCCGCCAATTCCGGAAAAGATTAGTATCAGACACGTACTAAATTTGGCTAAAAGTGCTAAAAGTTTGTATGGGGAAGATAATATGTTATCTTTTACACCGATTATTGAGAAGAAAGAACCAAAATTAAGTTCTAAAATGCTGAAGATAGTCGAAAGTAACAAAAAGAGAATGGAGGAGGAAAATAGAAAGAATGATGTGCTTTGGTTACGTGGGTTATATGAAAGATATAAAAACAAGGTAACTTTATTTGAAAAGAAACAATTGCTTGAGGATGTTAAGGGGGTTAGTCCATTTATATTCCGTAAAATATCACTACTTAAAATAGATGTTTATAATGAGATTTGGTTACTTGAAAAGAAAAATCAAGTTCCTGATGAGAATTATTTGATAACAGTGTATTTGGAATGTCTTGGTTATATTGAGAAGTATGGTAAAGAAGTTAAAGAGTCGGATGGCACACTTAAGGATTTAAATTGGGTGATTAAGAAGTTTGTTGAATCTGGTTTTAGTTCAACCGCACAAGAAATGATTCAAAAGTATAATTTGCCTATTGATGCAGTGGGAAAATCATCTCCTAGTGATAGTGAGTTATATTTTCAACTTAAATATCTAGGTGAACATTTAAAACGAACATTAGATACTAAGGCGGATTCTAGAGTACCGTTTAATCCCGATGGATGGCAGGTGAAAGTTTTAGATGCAGTAGATGCCAACAAGTCAATTCTTATTGCCGCACCTACAAGTTCTGGTAAAACTTTTATATGTTATTACGTTGTGGAGAAGGTCATGAAAGAGAACATGGATCAATTACTAAAGAAAAATAAACATAAGAAACCTTCTAAGACACAATCTAATGAAATAACTTACAAAGTTCTTTCACCACCAAGTCCACAGCATATCTTTAATAAAAATTTGAGTATTGTTGTGTTTTGTCTACCAACTAAGGCTCTAGCAAATCAAGTATCTGCTGATATCTATGCAAGGTTCAAACCAACCAAAGATATGAATTCACAAGGAACTCTTTTCTATGATAAATGTAATGATCCATTTGATTGTCAGGTACTAATTACCATTCCTTCGATGCTTGAGACTGTAATTAACAATGAATCTAATATTATTAAGTATATAATTATGGATGAATTCCATAAAATAAATGATGTGGATTTAAGTCTAAAAATGGAGAGAATTATTCATATGGCACGATGCCCAATAATTTTGTTAAGTGCAACCGTAGGTAATGTAGATGAATTCTTTACATGGTTTAAGAAGATTGAGAGTGTAAAAAGAAGAGAATGTGAGTTGGTTACGCACCATGAAAGATATTGTGAGTTAAAAACTTATCTTTATTCGGGTATCAAAGATAAAAAAAGAACTGTTAATCTA